TCTAGCTCCTCAGGATTCTGGGTACCTGTACACACACCTGGCATGTCTTCAGGCCAGCCCAGGGATCCAAACCTGGAGTTGTCCACATAGCTTCCAGCCTTGCAGGGTACTTGCATTATCACTATGCCTCTGTGGCTCGGCCCAACCAGTCTTGAATGTACACTTGCTATAGGCAGAGTCTAGGGCTACAAAGGCAAATATACCATTTTCCATGCCCTCAGCAAGCAGACAAGCAGGTTGGCTGGGGAGATTGACACCATAGTCAACTATGATACAGCAGTAAAAGTGCTCTGATGCTGATTGGGACAAAATTTTCTGGAAGGGAATAGCTCTGCTTTTATGGAGAGAAAAAGGAAGATAACAGTCTTCAAAGAAGAGATGAAGAAAAATTATAGCTCTGAATAAAATATGGGTAGAATTTCTAAAGGTAGAAGGAATATTTCAGCCTTATGGGAAAGAACAAGACAGGAGCAAAGGAACAGAGTTGTAAAAGTGACTAATATGTTCTAGGACTTAAAAGGGAACCATAATTACATACAAAAAGGCATGTCAAGCATTTCACATTAATAAAAGTTGGCCATTGTGCTTGTTCATTTTGGTGATGCAATGACTAATCAATAGTTTCATCAACAGTTTTTATTTTGTAATTCACAAGAACAAGAACAAATTGGGAGGAGCTTCACAAAGATAAGGGAATATAAAGAAGCAAATTATTTGGCGTGGCAGGTATCACAGAGGTTGTCTGTTCATTTCGCTGTGTTAGATCCTGGTGAGGAGCACAAGATAGCCTACCAAGCTTAGTGCCTTATTTCTAAATTCCTTCTCATTTTTCTTTGTCAAGTACTGTAAAAGGTCTGATATTTTGCCCTACTTGCAAGCTTACACATTAGCCTGCTACAAGGCAGTCCTGGGTGAGAGACAAAGGCCTCTATTACTCATAGTGCAGCAGGCAACTGGAGCTTCATGTTCCAGTCATTCCCCTTACTCTCTAGGTTCCCTGAGGGCTAGTGTTGCAGAGTAGCTCATTGGGTGGATGCTGCTAAGCAGTGAGGTTACTACACAGGCAGTGGAGTTACAACACAGCTGAGGAACCTGAATCCTCTATCAGGGGCTATGAGCAAACCTGCCCAGCCTTTGCTAGGAGGAGACATTATCTTATTATCCTGGACAGCAAATAAATAGGCCTTCTGTCCCTGAGGGAGACCCTCTATCTTCCAAGGCTATTTGCCTTGGAACAAAAGCTGTCAGTGCCTCTGCTTACAAGACTTGCAGAACTCAAGGGACTGTGGAGAACGGTCTCCTAACAGACTCCTTAGGTTTCTTTGGTCTCTTTAGGAGAACCAAAAAGGATAGAAGCCATTCCAGGAACCTTTTTCAGAAGAAAAGGGGGCACTATAAAATAAAACATGATGTAAAATACAATACGAAAGGAGTATTTAATGTAAAATAAGAATTAGAGTAAGGTATTGAGTATTCTGTCCAGTCTGCAAGACCTGTGTCTCTGGCTGCCTGCTTTTCTCCTTATCTGTGAAAGAGATGAAATCTTTCAGCAAGTCCTCAGAGACTCCAGTTGCTTCCTTCTGGGAAATGGTATAGCCAGCTGGGTGGCAGAATCTCTGCTTCAGCCAGATGACACCTGCCAGTATACCTAGCTTAGTGACTCCAGAGGGCAATATTGCCAAGTCCAGTGTACACAAAGTCCCAGTAGGAAGATCCATCTGTTTCCTTTCTTGTAGGGAGGACACACACTTATAACTGAAAGGGAAGAATTGACTCATGAATATGCCAGCTCCATGGCAGCTTCTGAGAGGGGATGATAACAAAAACTACAAGGATAGCTTCCTCGTTGATTAGAAGGCAGTAAATCCTCAGGGAGGAGATTAGGAAATTGAGCAGGTAGGGGAAGGAGGCAAAATCCCCAAAGTGCAAAATTGAACTTTATTGTGTTTCAGATAGTGGCACTCCTCTCTCTTCTCTTTATGTCTGGGCAACGCAGACTGGTTTCCCTGGATACGGGAGCCTTCTTCCTCAGTGGGAATACAAGGCCCAGTGTTAGTGATGCTGAGGAACTGGAGGAGGTAGTTACAGAAAGGATATGCTGCCCCCAGAGAGCATTAAAGCTCCATGAAAACACACCTTCACCAAAGTTCCAAGCTCTGTTTGAGCAGCACATCTTTTAGATGATATGTACAAATACAAGTCTGGGAAAGAAAAGTGTCTTACCTGTGTTAGAAGTATTTTTGGAGGAACTAAACATGAGATTCAAGTCTTAAGACCTCCTGCTCTCCTCTTTCTGCCCCTCTCCCCCACCAGTAAGTATGTATTTTTCACTCATTTTTTTTCAGTTGCCAGAGGGTGCCATACACTTGCCAGAGAGAGACAAAGAGACAGGGGGCCAGGAGAGCAACCCCCAGTGGAGTGTGGTCATGCCATACCCCTTCTTTTCCATTTCATCATCCCATTTGGATTTGGGACACTCACATACACATACCCAGCATGTTTTTTCAAGCCACCAGGGCTGGGATTCAAACCTCTGTCTGTGGTTTATGGGATCTGGCTCTTTTGAACACTAGGTTGCAAGGGCTGACCCTTTTTCAGTCATTGTTACAGCCTTAATAGAATAGGTAGTCAATTGGATAAACTTATGGGTCTGAGTTTGGGTTGTAGCATCATTAAATATAAGAATCTAATTTAACTTCAGAGGTCATGTGCAGTTTTTCAGGTACTCTCTTACAGTCATTTGTGTGAATCTAGTCCCCCTTCTGCTTATTTCTTACCTAGATCTTTGATATCACTGCATCTCCTTTTGCGAGAACTTTTTTGTCAGCAATCTTCCAAAATGGATCCTGCTGTATACCTAAACTGGTCCCTTTCCAATAGGACAGATGTGCTCAGCCCATTTAGAAGTGTGCATGGAATACGTTAGTTAGGATGTCAAGACTATGCTTGTTGTTGGGACCAGCAGTTGGCATAATGGCTATGTTGCTGGACTCCCATGTAGTTGACTGTGGTTTAAGTCCCAGACCCAGTGGCTTAAACTCATGCCAAGCTTGTGTACATGCATGCCCAAGATCCCAAGGGAGAATGGAGGAGAAGGGATTGTGGTGTGGCCATCCCCCTGGGGGGTGATTTCTCGCTTTCTGTCTCTCTGTCTCTCTGTCTTTCTGGCGAGCACATGTGCCCTATAGCAAAAGCATCTCCAAAAAAAAAAAAGAAAGAAAGAAAGAAAGAAAGAAAGAAAGAAAGAAAGAAAGAAAGAAAGAAAGAAAGAAAGAAAGAAAGAAAGAAAGAAAGAAAAAAAGAGTATGCTTGTTTATGCTTGTTGAATTGGTCAGTACCCTAATCAGATCCCTGCATGTGCTATTTAGGATGCAGATATAGCAACTTGATGAATTTAGTTTGGGTGTAAGAAATGGTGGAATCCTAGGAAAATGAAATGTTTTAGGTAGGTCATATGAAGATAAACTTAGTCTAATGTCTTTAAATGGATTATACTTTTCTGTGTTTGTTTACATAGGTCTTTATCACCAATACCTAGAAATTCTGAACACTACAAGCAAAGATATTCTCATGGGCATTATGGCTGTGAATATAAGAAGGATCCAAAAAGACCTGTTTCTTGGAGAATGGATAGTGAGAAATATGGACAGAATAAACCAAGGATTCCTTCTCGTGGAGATATACATTATCGATCTTACGAACATCGATCACCTTCCCCAAACATAAGAGGAAACTCTTTAGAAAATGTTTATATGTATTTGCCTCACCGAGTATATTCGCCTGGAAGAGGGGATAGTAGCAGAAGATCTCAGTATATACCCAAATACACAGAGAATGTATCCTACAAAGAGCATGAGAGGAATTGTTATCCCCAGAAAGTGCAAGGAAGGTATATTCCAGATGATCACAGAATTAGAGAAAGTGAAAGAGGTGGGAAACCATCTCAGAGGTCAATAGCAGATTCTTTTAGATTTGAAGGAAAGTGGCATGAAGATGAGTTGAGACACCAGAGATTACAAGAAGAAAAATATTCCCAGTCACCTAGAAGAGGCTCTGAAGACTTTGAAACATGGAGCTCTTTTCAGAAGAGGTATAGGAAAACATTAAACCCTGGGTAATTTGGTGTAAAACCTCAACTGAAAAGTCTGTTTACTTTATAGTTGAAGATAACCACCTTGAAAAGCTTTTGTCTAAAACGATAAAAAGCATTATAATTTAGTTATGGTCTACTGATAATGGTGAAGTATTTCCTTTTAGGGTAAATCATGTTGATGGCTAGCATATATATTTTTTAAGATGGTATTTTCTTCTTTAACTACCTTGTGCCTCTATGAATTGGCTTGAGGTATTATAGATTAACTTGCCACTGCATTCTGCATTTAAAGACATGCTGCCCAACATTCTACACATATAAATTCTCACTTTCTTCTCTCTAGTGCAAGTGTAAACTGCTTTATGTCAACACAGGTATCCTGAGGATCGTGATTTCAGAAAATATGGACACACAGCAAAAAGACCTAAAGATGTGGAGAGGTATGAAAACAGAGAGCCTGCCAGGAACCCAAAGTGGAAGCCTGAACATTCTTTTCTATCTTACCAAGAGAAGAAAGATCAATGGAATATCGGACCCCAAACTCATCGACATGTGGAGAGGGATTACCCAGAGACTAGTTCAGCAACCAAAGTATCCTTTGACTATCGCCACAAACGTCATAAGCCCTCAGATGGGGACCAGGACTTTGCTGATGAGAGAACTCAGAAATATTCTAAGGAAGAAGATAGAAAATACAGTTCTCAAAAAGGCTCTGTAAATAGAGAGTCAGAATGTTTTAATGCTGGAAGAGGGGGAGAGACTGAAGATGGGCAAGTTAGAGAACCTTTTAAACCACCTAAGAAAGACTACATTGCCTGTACTCATTTAAATAAAGATGATATTGACTTGAAGCCCTGTACTGATAAATGGAAGGAAACAAAGAAAGAAGGGGATTGCAGAAAAGAGAGCAACTCTTCCAGTAACCAGCTTGATAAAAGTCAAAACCTTTCTGACTTGAAATCCTCTCCTGTCAATATTAGGAAGAAATCACTCACAGTTAAAGTAGATGTGAAGAAAAAAGTAGATGGATTCAGGTATTATCTTTGTTCTTTTTTTTTTTTAATGATATATAGTAAATGTTTCTGCCACCTTTATTTGCAGCTTTGAAAATGGAATTAATAGTGTGTTTAGTCCATTAAGAGGGGAGGGAGTACCTGAATTTTTCCTTAAAAGCCCTATAAAGAAATTGAGTCCTATGATCAGAAATATGAGGCGATCTCATGTCTGCTTATTTCCATATCCTAGCTCCAGGTACTTCTCATGTGGAGGGCATTCCATGGAGTTATTTCTCTTCATGAATTCACATGTTTTTGTGCTGCCAGATTTTTCTTATCCAGGAATTGACTGGGTAGAGTTCAAGGAGACCTATTGTTTATTCAGTTTCACAGAGCCCATGTTTCCTGTTGTCTGAAATTCAGAGAATTTTTGAGCTGGAAGACACTTTAGCAGGGCCCTGGTTTTACAAAGGAGGAAAGTGGGACTGAGAAGTGAAATGACTTCAAAAGCAGAGCAACTAAAGCTCAGTCTAATGTTGTCTTGTGACACAAGAAGGCTGATAGTTTGATGTGGTTCTTGCTACTATCTCAAAGTGACTGGGACTCAACTGACTAGATTCTCCTAGATAAATTGAATTAGGCTGTTGTCTGAGAAGATACCTATTTATAAGACATTTGCTTTTGCTCTTAATGATTCTTAAAAAAAATACTACTGTTATAATAGATTATTAGTCTCCTAAAGCCGATTCACATGCTTTGTTCCATTATGAATATTACCTCCATTTATAGATTCTGAGACTAATAAGGCACTGCAGTTAGCTATTTAGCTAAATCCATTCATTACCTTAATACACAACCAGTAGGTGAATGAAAAAGTGATGGCCCATGTTGATTTGGTGCTTTTATATTCATAGTTGATTCATATATGTTTATATTTGAATTGAAAACAAAATCCAAAGGGTAGGATAGAAGGAGAGGAGAGAGCTAAACCCACAGTTTTTTTTTAAAGCAAAATATTTTTTGTTTCTTTTCGTAATAAAAAGAAACAAGGCAGTCTCTTTCTCTCATATTTCCCGTACATTCATTGAACTTACAGAAAATATTTAAAAATACATATATATATTTATATGTGTACATAAACCATTTATTATTGTGATTATATTATAGAAAGTTAGAGAAATGGGTAGGGGAAATCAACCATAATCCTATTGCCCTAGGATAATTTTATTAGCATTTTAACATCATTCCACTTTTCATTTTTCTATGGATATCTGTACACGGCTGTCATAATATCATGTTAATAATTTTGTATCTTTTCTCATATACCTTAAATAATTTAGTGCTAATAGTCCTTAGTCTTAGGAGAATAAAGTGTTCTACAAACATATTTTAAGAATGTTACCTTAATCTTTTTTTTCTAACATATTAGGAAAATGTTCAAATATACAGAAAAATTAGATCGTACAGTGAACACCCATATACCCACCATGTATCGTCTATAATTAGCAGTTTGCCTTTGTAATCACAGGTCTATCCATCTGTTCATCTATCATTCCCTCTTTTTATTTATTTATTAGAGAAATTTTTGCTATAGGGCGTGTGTACTTGCCAGAAAGAGAGATAGAGACAGAGACAGGGAGCAAGAAATCACCTCAATGGGGAAATGGCCATACTACAGTTTCTTCTCCTCCATTCTCCTCTTGAGATTCTGGGCATGCACGCACACGTGCCTGGCATGAATTTTAAGTTGCCGAGTCCAGGACCTGAACTGCGATCGACTATGTGAGAGTCCAGAGACGTAACCATTATACCATCTGCTGACCCCTCATCTTTTTTTTTTTTTTCAAAATTAAGTTGCAAACAGCCTGAAAGTTTTGTTTACAGTTGTTTTTTCTTTCTACATAAAATTACATACAATCAGGTGCACAAAAATCTTAAATATTTTTCTAAAAGTAATGATATCCTCATATTTAATAATGAAGTGTTTTTCATTCTTAAAATAATCTTTAAATTGCTTGTAGCACTTTTAAAGAATCCCTGAAATACCAAATTTGAAGGGCTTTATTTTAATAGACTTCATTAAAAATACTGAACAACTAATTTTAGAATTTGATACAAAAAATGAAACTTGATCATCATCATATATCACAAAAATGAGCTCCTTAACATGGAGGCTGCTGCATCTTTTGTTTTGAATTTATACAAGGGGAATTCAAAAGTTTGTGGGAAAATGGAATTAAAACACAAGTTTATTTTGGTGCAAGAAATTTGTAAATCCATGCATAATTTTTCATATTACACATTTTCATGAACTTTTTGAAAACCCCTTGTACTTTTGTGAAATCTTATAATCTGCCAGTTGAGGCCTACAGCACAGATTCGAATACCTAACAAGGGCCTTCAGGATTGCTTATGTAATAGAGTCTCCATTATAATTCCTTTCTATTCAGAGACCTGAAGAATAAATAACCAAACAAATATATATATATCTTTTCACTATGATAAAGCATTATAGTCAACAAACTCTCTCTCTGATTATAATTACTTATTGATGAATGAATTATGGAAACATCTTATGGACTGGAATTAATTATATGTGGACTCAAAGTATCTATCAAACAAAGATAGTTAATACCATCAATAGAATTGTTTTCAACTATGAACATAAATTAGAATATTTTTCGGTTCAAAAAATTTGAAGTAATTGTAGAGTGCAGAGAGAGATTTGTTTATTGGTTAAAATCTGGAGTTTATCCACCTTTGGTGGAAAGCCTAAGATGGTTGATTTTGTATATTTGTTTACTTTCTTAACTTTGGTCAAGTATTGATATTTGTTCTTCCAATTACTGGTTAGTATGACTGAAAATATAAGATGATCACCTAGCAGGTTTTCTAGATCCAAGTCTATGTTTGGAACAGGTAGGCACTTTAATGTTCACTTCCTAGTTAGCAGTGTTAACAAAGGCTGTATTCTAGTGACTCACTCTGTCAAAAATTTCATTTTCAGAAGTAGAAGTTATGAATCATAATTATGTGTGTCAGGATGTAAGTTAGGGAATCATAATATGAAAATCTATAATAAGGTTGTTATGTACCAAAAGCATGCATGGTCATATATATCTGGAAGTCTCAAGGTAAATGAAGGGAGGTGTTGGTTTAATGTTGGGCCAAGTAGATGAGGAACTGATACAGATCAATGTAGGAAGGAAGTGGAGAAAGGAGGAAGTAGGAGGGAGGAGGGCAGTGCTGGTTCCCAGAGCAGAACAAGCTGCTAAATCTCCTTTGATCTCCTAGGATGCTAGTACTAGACATCTGGCATGGGGAAGGTTAGCGATCAGAGTTGATGGTGGACTGATTACATCAGCCACATTTGCATCTAATCCTTTATTTCTTACTAATGAGGTATAGACAGGACCTCCCTACCCTCCTCAGGTATTTCCCCATTCTGAAAGGGAATGAGGTGGGTGATGGGCCACAATAGGACATTGGAACCCTGACACTGAAGAAAGGGGTACGGCATAGATGGGGAACATGAAAAGTTCTAACTAGGATTGAATGAAGGTAGCCTAATCATGCAAGTTTACCTATATGGTGGATACTGTAGGTGGAGGGCCCACCCAAAGTGGCATGTACTGCCCCAGCAGGTGGCGTGAAGGTTAAGGTGGCTGGATCCCAAAGTGGCATGTACTGCTATGATGCTGTGCTCTATGGGACCACAAGGGAAGCCTGAGTTTTATTCCTGGTCTAACCTAAAGGCTGAGCATGATTGTGTGTGCTGCCTGTAATACCAGCAGCTCAGGAGGCTGAGAGAAGAGGATCCCAAGATCAAGGCTGAGTTGGGCAACACAGCAAGACCCTGTCTAAAGAAGAGCTAAGTGTGGTGGCATGCCCGTAGTTCCAGCTGAGAATCTGGGGCAAGGGGGTCATGACATGGCAACACCTTTTCTTCAAAAAACAAAAAGCCCTAGGGGAAGATATTTTTGATACTCAAACCCACTATCTCATTGTTATGTTGCATAAGAATCTAAGGTTTTTTCTTCCTCCTTCCCTAGTATTTCTCATATTTTAAAAAAATCAAGTATTAATTGAGAAAAGGTTTCTTTCATTCCCATTTTTGCCCTGGCTACTCTTAGTGTCTCTGAGGGATCTAGTATAAGGGAGATGAATGTTCTGTTGGAGGTTAGGATACAAAGGTTTTGTCTTCCTATGAGTCACTGAGCAGCTCTGTGACATTGGGCTATACATTTTTGGGACCAAATTAAGCTACAGTTTCTCCTGGCCCTACAAGTCTGCTTGGATTGTCCACATGTTGTTAACTATTGAAGATGAGTTGATAGGCGCATGAAGGCCCAACATGGAATTCTCTGAACTTTTGTATATATTTGAGATTTTATATTATTAACAAATTTAAAATTTTTAATTTAATTTGATCTGAATTAAGTAAAAATTTTAAAATAAAAAATAAACCAGGAAAATTAAGAAATAAAATTAAATTGGCCTCAATTAAAATGTCGACGTTGGGGGTCAGCCAATGGCCTGGTGGTTAAGGGTGACAGAATCCCTCATGGCCAACTGCACAGTTTGAGTCCTGGACTTAGTGGCTTGAAAAACATGCTAGGCACATGTGTGTACATGTGTAAAAATCTCAAAAGGAGAAATGAAGGAGAAGGGATTGTGCTGTGGCCATACACCCCCCCACACACCACCAGGGGATGCTTTCTCTCTCTCTCTCTCGATATATATATATATATATCTGTCCCTGGTGAGCATACATGCTATATAGCAAAATTTTTAAATAAATAAAATATTGATATGTATCTCTTTAACCGAAACACTCAAACTGACCAAGTCATTTTCTATTCATTATTTATTCTTTCAGTAGTTGTTTTCTGAGGCCTGTTCTATGTGGGACAACCTGTTAGAGTATCCTGGGCCTATAAAACTGCATATTAGGTTTCTTTGGTTTTATAGATGAGTAGAGTGACTTTAGCAGTACCAGGAGACAGTGAAGGATACACGAGTTAGTGTGTGTCTTAGAAGGAGGTGGGTGATACCAAGCCAGGAGGTGGAGGGGAGGCTCACGCAGAAGCTGACCCATGAGCAAAGCTTTGAAGGCTGGTTTGTTCTAGTCACGTGAAGATGTGTTAAAAGACATTTTATTAATATATACACAGGAACTCAGAGCTGTGTGTTTCTGAGCAATAAAGTGAAAAAGATTAATAATGGGAAAGGAGACTGGAAAAGCTAAGAATGGTGTGACTGTCAGCCTGATTTGACATTAGCTGGTAGGAGAGAGTAGACTGCTCAGTTCTGGCTGCCAGGGATTGTTGTCTGTGAGGTCAGTTGGATGGGCGTGGGGTGAAGACTTTTGTGAAAAAGGTAATCAAATTCTGATTTAGGGGAGTAACAGTCTCCGTAACCTTTTCCCCTCAACTCCAAAATTTCTTAATGTGTTCTTAGAAAGATAGGAGCAAATAATATAACTGTAAAAATGCTTTATGAGCTGTAGGAAACTATAAAATGTTAGCTATTAGTTACGTGAAGATGTGTTAAAAGACATTTTATTAATATATACACAGGAACTCAGAGCTGTGTGTTTCTGAGCAATAAAGTGAAAAAGATTAATAATGGGAAAGGAGACTGGAAAAGCTAAGAATGGTGTGACTGTCAGCCTGATTTGACATTAGCTGGTAGGAGAGAGTAGACTGCTCAGTTCTGGCTGCCAGGGATTGTTGTCTGTGAGGTCAGTTGGATGGGCGTGGGGTGAAGACTTTTGTGAAAAAGGTAATCAAATTCTGATTTAGGGGAGTAACAGTCTCCGTAACCTTTTCCCCTCAACTCCAAAATTTCTTAATGTGTTCTTAGAAAGATAGGAGCAAATAATATAACTGTAAAAATGCTTTATGAGCTGTAGGAAACTATAAAATGTTAGCTATTAGTTGGAAGAACACAAGAAAGAAAACTTTCTGTCAGATGGATCTGATCATATAGTACAATATAGCCTCCAAACAGCAAGGGAATCTGTTGACTTTTGGTTATTGTTGGGGTTTTTGTTATTGTTATTTTGTCATGCATTTTTTTTTAATGAATCCCAAGTGGGTATAATAGGAAATTAAGGTTTAATGTAGCTTTTTATGTTTTCTTAGTTATTATGCACAAAACTCAGTGGGAACATCAGTGGAAATATCACTAAACAGAGAAAAAAATAGGGAGATGGTGAGGGAAGGGAACAAATAAGCCTGGAAGATTTAATGAGACCAGTACCAGAAATAGAATACAGGTTGTTGGCTGTGTTTTAATTTTACAAACTGTCTAAAATGCATCTCAAATGAGAACATTTGGTCTTTTCAGCTTAACTACTTGCTTTGAGGTTATTTCCTGAAATTATTAACTTGTTAATAATTTCATGTCCTAGGAAATAGTGAAAAGGAAATTGTGAACCAAGGGACAAATTAACAAATGTAAATACTTAGAGTGTTTTGCCTTCTTAAGTCTAAAGAGACTTTTTCTTATAACAAAACTATCATAACTGTTTTTAAGATCAAAATTTTACATCATACTATTTTAACATATATTTTCCAGAAAATTATATTTTAAATAGTTTTTACTGAATATCTTATAGTAGAATGAATCTAGAATAAATTTTAACTGAAGACAAATTTAAACATAAAATTTTAGGAATTAAATATGACTTCATAGTATACCATAACACTCCTATGGATTGAGGGTTGGGCATGGAAGGGGGACAAAAGTAAAGCCAATGGTTAATTTGAAATAAATTGCAAGTAAATTTTAATAATTATCCAGTGAAAATCTGGAAACCTTTATCAGCTGAGTTTCTTTTGGGAGAAACAAAGAATACAGAGGAAAAAAATCTTAACTGATTTCCCCTCGTAGATAGACCATTTATATAGTTCTATTTAAATATCATTTTTTAATCTCCAGTGAAATATTTTTAAAATCTTTCATTTTTAGGGAGGAGGTATGGAACAGGCTTTTTGTAATATTTAACCGCTTTAAATGGAGAACCATTGTAGTTTTTTGTTTGTGAAGATTTTATGGGACCATTCTAGCATTTACCAGTAAATGTCTCTTAGCTAGTTATCAGATACACAGTGGGAAGCTTGGAGCAAATTAGAAGGAAAGACAGAAATGGGCCTTCTAATGAAAGTCTTTTTAATGAATCAGAGAAACCACAGCAGTGGCATCAAACTGCTGCATGATCACTTTTCCTCCTTTTTGGTCTAAGAGCAGGGAGCATGGAGAGTTGGATGGCAGCTTTTCCTCTACAGGGTTATAAATAGGTTCTTAAAACCATTTTGTTAGAGATGTTAAAATTTTTAGTTAAAAAATATCTGTAAGCCCCTAATAACTTTTTAGTTAAAAAATATCTGTAAGCCCCTAATAACCCTGGAGCACTTTCGCATGCATGGCTGTTAAGTAACATAAATAAAGAAGTAAATATGTGCACACATACACCCACATTCTGAAATGTATTCATTGGAATGCTTGTTGTTATATGGAAAAATAGCATTTGTTCCAGTGGTGCTGCTATTATTTAAAAAATACTTCAGGGATCCAGCAGATTGCATAGTGGTCAAGGTGCTGGATTCCCACGTGGCCAACTGCAGTTCAAGTCTTGGACCTGGCCCTTGAAACTCACACCAGGGACATGTGCATGCATGTGTGCCAAAAATCCTGAGAGGAGAACAGGGTAGAGGGGATTATGGCATGGGCATCCCCCATGGGGGGCTATTTCTCACTTTCTAGCTCTCTAGCGAGCATACATGTCCTATAGCAAAAAAAAAAAAAAAAAAAAAAAAAAATCTAAAAAAACCCCCACAAAATATGCTTTAAGATTCTCTTATAGATTTATCTTCAGAGCCTGTAGCATACTCACAAAGAACTTCAGCAGTGTAAATCTCATTTCTTTGGACAATGGACTTGAATTTTGGGAAGAGCCATAAACAATTTAGAGTTAAGTACAGAGGGATGAGATGAATGCGAGATGAATGCAAGATGATTAGTTTACATTTTGGTCTCAAATGAGATATAAATATAAAATAATGAGACATGTTCTTTCATGATGCATAAACTGTCTCCAGATGAAGAATTTAAGAGTATTTTTAAACAAGAGGAATATTCTTGGAATAAGGTATGGTTTCCTAACACGATATTTGGAAGACTGATGTTTATATGAATGCTTAGCCTCTAGGATGTAAAACTAAATGACCAAAACATTCATTGTCTCTGTGTAACTTCATCTTCCCCATAGTGATGTCACAAAGATTAAATGAGATAACGTTGGTAAGCTCTGGGTCCCCATGTTTGCCATGTAATAAGCCCTTAATAATTGGTAGCTATATGTCATAACTATAATAGCACCTAGAGGTCAAGAGAGTTCTTAACAAAAGTTACAAAGATTCAGAAGGCATTAAGGTGGTAAAATAGCTGATATTATATAATAAATGGTAGCATTTCTTTAAGGGTACATTTAAAGTGAATGCTAGAGTTGGTATGAATGATCATAGCTTTGCTAATAACTAAGACTGTTTTCTGAGAATTTAGTGAGACTTTGTGATTAAGTTCATCTTAACAGAATTTGATGTCAAAATACAGTACTGTTCTAAGCTTCATATTGCTGATACAGAGGTATAAGGATTTTCATTAAGTCAGAGAGGTGCTTTTTAATTTTTTAATATATTTATTTTTATCAGAGAGGGTGTTATGGTTGATATATTATCTTTAAGGTATGGTAGTATTTCAAGGTAGTAAAATCTTACTGGATTTACAGTGTTTTGGCCATTTGGGAGGAGAAAATAACCTAATTTTTGCATATTAAAATAGTGTCTAACACTTTTTTTTAAAGGAAAAATTGTTTCACTTAGGACTTTGAGGATTTTATTTATTTATTTTTAGTTTTTCATAGGATACATATGCTTCCCAGAGACAGAAAGAGAGAGAAAAAGTAAGAAATAACCCCCAAGGGGGAATGTTCACACCACATTCCTCCTCCTACATTCTCCTCTTGGGATTTTGGGCACACATGCACATGTGCCTAGTGTTGAACCCTGCAGATGGCATATGGAATCCAGCCACCTTAACCTTTTTTTTTTTTGAGAGGTTTGTGCTATAGGGCGTGTGCCAGAGAGGAGACAGAGAGACAGAGAGACAGAAAGTGAGAAATCACCCCCCGGGGGAATGGCCATGCCACAATCCCTTCTCCTCCATTCTCTTCTCGGGATCTTGGGCATGCACGCACATGTGCCCAGCATGAGTTTAAGCCACTAGGTCCAGGACTCGAATCACGGTCGACTACATGAGAGTCCAGCAACATAGCCTTTACGATAACTGCTGGTCCCCAGCCACCTTAACTTTCATGCCATCTTCTGGCCTGAGGAATTTGTTATTAAATTGGCAAATATTTAATAATCTCTGATTTGATAAGAACTCATAACCATATATCAATAGCTGTTTTTATTTATTATTTATTGTACCTGTTTTGTGGCATATAATTTAGTGTCTCAATTATAAGAAAAAAATAAACATCTTTTTATAGCTATCTTAATTTCTAATAAGTTCTTTCTCAGCAAAATAGTTTCAAATTTAGTTAAACATTTGCAAATTATTCTAGGGCTGCTTCTAGCTATTCCACAGAGAGACAGATGTCACATGATTTGGTTGCTGTTGGCAGGAAAAGTGAGAGCTTTCATCCAGTGTTTGAACATCTTGACTCAACTCAGAATACTGAGAACAAACCTTCAGAAGAATTTGCTCAGGAAATCATAACAATAATCCATCAAGTTAAAGGTTGGTATGCTTTATAACACATGAGGAACAACAAAAATAATATACTGACTTTTCATGAAATACAGGTAAATACCTGTGATATGGTGTAATAGTAATTTATATTTCATTGTAATAGTAATTTATATTTCATTGTAAGTTAGATTGTGACTTAGGAAATCTTTTGGAGAGAGTATAAGGCATTGATTTAAGTCTGGCTGTTCTTTATATGTAGTTTCAATAGCCTTGTGCTTCACTGTTAGTATATTACAAATCACAAGTTAGAATGAGAAAGGTTGGCTGCTACAAAAGACAACATACTGAGAGCAACAAGCAACAATAACTGATAGCCTTGATAGCCCAATAGGGTGGAAAAAGCAATAACAACAGTATAGGAAACTCAAGAAATCCTGAAGTCTAGGTCACTTTATGATATTTTCAAAGCCCCCTGAGGGCATTTGTGGGACTTGGTAGCTAAGGATAAAGTTAAATGATCAATAAAAAATTCTAGTTCACTTTGACATTATTTATGACATCAGAGAGTTGCATAATAAATACTTTAAAGATTTGCGTGAAATTGGTTTGTTTCTGCTTCTGGCAAATTTCCATTAATTGGAAAATTTAATGATGTAGAACGACTTTCCCCAGTGATACTGCATAATAAATAAAGTAATTGTGTGTATTATAAACTAGAGGCCTTCAAGAATTTTGAAATTTTCATTTTATACTTCTTACTAGATAATTGCATTAATATTTTTTACCTTTATAAAACACATTTTGAAAAAATATTTTTTTCTGTTCCTCAGACTAAGGCATATATTTAATTTAGAGCATACAGTTTGTCTGAAACAGCTTACCTCCTCAGTTCTAGCCCCTCTCACTCCAAGGAAATATGATTCCTGGTAGAAAGGGGGCTGGTATTGCAGAAGAATCCAGGAGATTATCTCAGAACAGGAACATTATGTTAGGGGAAATGATTGCTTAAGTAACATTCTAATGGGTCAAGTGTACTCTTTCTCTCTATCCTATTAAAAACCTGTAGTATAGCTGATTTTGGAATATTCTCATAGACCTCAGTTAATACTAAGTAAAATGACATTTGAAGGCCTTTTGTGATATGAAATGATAAGATTTTGCATTTGTTCAAAATTGTTTTGATTGGGTTGTTTGGGGAGCTAATTTTTTACTTTTGTTGAACTGTAGAACTCTGTACCATCTTTACTTCCCAGATATAGTAAGGTCTGACCTTGGAGAAGAAAGGTCCTCGCTTTGAGAGAGCCACTGTCTTTTCCCCTGGACAAATAAGCAGGCATATCAGATAGGAAGAACAGCCTTGGATTCATAAATCAGGTGTTTCTACTCTTGCTTGGGCATGGGAAAGCACATGAGCACTGCACATTAGTCTGCAAAATAATTTTAGGTCTCACATATTTCAAGAGAAAACAGATTGTATTTTTTTAATAGCCTCTTCTTCCTATGCTTATATATAAACTTAAGGGGAATCAGTTTTACATCGAGATAAAACTATTTGTTTCCTTTTTCAGAAAATTATTTTCCATCACCTGGCATTACTCTACATGAACGTTTCTCAAAAGTACGAAATACACATCATGCAGATGTAGATGAAATTAAATTGAGTTCAAATCCAGAAATTCACAGGTAATGATTGAGTACTATATTCCCATTGAACTAGTGGGAATAAACTTCAGAATAGTTTCAGGATGGTGTTCCTTTCTGAGTTTTTGCTCACAGGCTGTAGACTCTGGGACTGTATTTCCAACATAAAAATAAGACTAAGCAGGTACTGGGCCAGCACACTTTGGTGGAATAGGTTGTACTGAGGCTATTGACAAGCATTGTTTAAATGTGTAGGACCTTGAAAAGTATTTGCTTGCCTGACTTTGATTCTGCTGTGTCTGTAGTAATTGCCTACTGAATGGAAAATGAAAGGATAAAAGACAGTTAAAAAGCCACTAAAATCATGGGTTGCTTCATGTGGTCCTAAATTGGCTGTTCTGGTGATAGCCAGATGAAAACTTGTCTTCTTCTGCTGGTGCTTGTCTGATCAGTGGTGCACCCTGACTTGTGAGCTGAGTTGAATCAATGTTAGGATATACTATATCACCAGAGTTAAGTTTGAGGTTACACAGACTTGTGATTTGAGAACCACTAAAACTTTCCTGTCATGTTTGTTCACAGTTTGTGTATGTCCTAAGGGACTGCTGCTTAGATGAAAAACCACGTGGTAGCAAGTTTCTTTTGTGTTCTCCAAAAGCATACCAGTGTTACTTCAGATTCTTTCTATTCTGTCATAGTAAAATCAAGGTATTAGTATGTAACATAATTATTTATTTAATCATAATATGCCTTTATTGTTTTAGGAGAATAGATATGTCTTTGGCTGAGCTTCAGAGTAAACAAAGTATGATATATGAATCAGAGCAGGTAAGTGAATACAATTTTTGATGAGTGATTACTTTATTGTTGGTATGCTAATTGGAAAGGGGCCCAGTGATGGGGAGTGAAAACAGGACTTATAGTACATGAAAAAAGATTGAGACCCAGGATCTGAAATTTTAAAAGCTCTCTATGTGACTCTGTTATGAACAGGTTTGAGTGACAATACTGATAAATGACAAAAATGTTCCCTAAGAGGGATAGCCCTTAAAGATAACAGCTTTGTAAAATTGACACAAAATTACAGTGTTTGATATTCATTTCCAAACTCCTCATGGTAAAGCTTTCAGAAAGTATGTTTTGTAACTATTTTTCCAAACAATCATATGGAATATATTTTCAAATTGTACATGGAATCAATACAAAGAAAGCATATAATTTTCATTTGATATTGTATTGCCCTTCTGTTTACCGTAGGATGTACAAAAGAGTCTGTGGAATCTGAACTAGCAAAATAAGGAAAATAATATCTTTATTGTCATAGGTTGTGTGTGGTTCCCAACCAACACCTCCCCTCCTGCCTCCATTTCTTTGCTAATTAAAAAGACTATCTTGACTAGCCAGGGAGGAAGAAAACTTGTTCTTGTTTTAGAAGTATATTAAGTTCTAAAAGAACTGCTAATTTATTCATTGAGAGTATAAAGTTTTTTTTAGGGGAAAGATTTTTATTTAAATCCTTTTTGATAGAATATATAAATATTTTTTCACTTGTGAAACAATTACTGTTTTTATTGAACTGATAGAGATAGCTTTGTTTATAGAATAAATGATAGCTTCAGAAAATTTCTAATTATCAAAGTACTGTAATTAACTCACAGGAAGTTTGAAGATCACAAAATTAGCTGTAATTTAACCGTTTAACAGAAGATATTATTGGAGCATTTTTTTCTTAGTCTTATAGTTTATATTTTAACATAGTCACTGTCATAGTGTATGCTTTTTAAATTTTAATTTATAACATTCCTTAAAATCTCTGAATTATTCATAACCTTTATGATTGAGGCTTTTTAAGTTTTAATTTTTTTCAATAAGTTTTTCCATGTTGACATTTATCATGTTATTATCATCATTTAAATGGTTGTACAGTATTCTTTTAAGTTTATCATAATTTATTTAATCATTTTTCTCATCCTCTATACTTTTTTATATTTAAGTTGCTTCCATTTTTAAAATTGTAAAATAATACTGGGTTGTCAAAAAGTCCATGATGTATTTTTCCCATGTTTTTCTATGCAAAAATACATCATGACTTTTCCAACAACCCAATATTTTGAATATATTTAGGTAGATAACCTTTGGAATAGAGTGATTTTTTTTGATTCAATACTAGGAACTCTGTTGATGGTATATTGTTGATTGCGTCTTAAAATATTTGTATCAATTTGCAGTATTATTAGCAGGATGAGTACAATACAAGTTATTTAGGACATTTAATTAAAGTTCTTATTAGATATGGTCTTTGTGCAACTAACAGTAATGTGAATGGTTTGTCTTCTGTCAAAATTCCTCAGACACTGGTCAAAATAATAGATCCAAATGACCTACGACATGACATTGAAAGAAGGAGAAAAGAACGGTTACAGAATGAAGATGAGCACATTTTTCACATAGCTAGTGCTACAGAGAGGTAATCAGTAGATGAAAAACATACTGTTATCAGGGAGCTTTTGGTTTCAGCATATTTTTCAATTTTAATGTGGTGATAATTTTCATTTTAATATAGGGATTTGATAACCTTCAAATCCATTTTATTCATTTAAGTAAAATTTATTAAAATGTTTCAAAGATATTCAGTGATCATCGTATGTGGTTTGATTTAAAATGCAAGAATGATGGGGTAAGTGAGTATTTGAGGTCACTGTGATTCTAGAGAGGAATGAAACAGCTTTTTGACCAATGAGTTTATGGACTATTTGGCTGAGCTTATTTAAACACTGATAGATTCTGCTCTTTAGAGTCTGGGATATTCTTTGAAGAGTACAGAATTTCATGAGGTCAATACAATTCTCCTTTGAGGCTCTCCATGATCCATGAAAGAGAGGCAGGTATAATAGCAAATAGCAAATGCAGAGGAGACCTAAGTTTGAATCTCACTTCTGCCAGTTTACAAGCTGTTCAATCTTGGACAGATTTTTTACAGTTTCACTAGCATTTTCATCTATAATATGATAAACCATTATATTATGTGTGGCAGTTAAAAATATTAAGTGAGCTGGCACATATGAAATACTTATGTCATGCATGGCAAATAAATCCTTAATTTCTTTTCCCAATCCCCTACCATCCTTTAGGGACACTGAGTAGTCAAAATTGGGCCCAGTTTGTTTCTAGTTCTGAAAACTATATAGAATTCATGACAACTTGGGGCTGGCAGGTACCGTGGTGTTTAAGGGCGCTGTACTCCCACATGGCCGACTGAGGTTTGAGTCCTAGAACTGGCAGCTTGCTTTCTCACTTTCTCTCTCTCTCTCTGTCCCTCTCTGGTCAACTTTAAACAAACAAAGTTAATTATAAAATAAAATAATAAAATAATTATTAAAAAAATAAGAATTCATGGCAACTCTGGGATCCCATATGATTATAAGGTATAATTGACTGGGACGAAATTTCCACTTCACCCAAGCATTATTACAGTATTTGACTCTCCCAGAAAGTGAGAATGTATGAATAGGCAGGACAAGTGTTAACTGTTTTCCCATAATTCTTTAGTATCAAATTACTAAGTATTTTGCTAAACTATTAAGCCAAGTATAGCTAATGAGGTCTTGTTTAAAACTGGACTGGGGGGACCAGCAGTTAGCATAATGGCTATGTCGCTGGACTCCCATGTAGTCAACTGCGGTTTGAGTCCTGGACCCGGTGGCTTAAACTCATGCTAGGTGTGTGTGCATGCGTGCCCAAGATCCTGCTAGGAGAAGGGAGGAGAAAGGATTGTGGCATAGCCATCCCTCAGGGGGGTGATTTCTTGCTTTCTGTGTCTCTATCTCTCTGTCTTTCTGGCAAGCACACACGCCCTATAGTAAAAACCTCTCCAAAAAAAGAAAAAAAATAACTGGACTAGGGCGGGGGGCAGCAGGTGGCATAGTGGTTAAGGCGCTGGACTCTCACATGGCTGACCGTGGTTTGAATCCCAGACTCAACAGCTTGAAACTCACAGTGGGCACTTGTGAGTGCATGCCCAAAATCCCAAGAGGAGAATGGAGAAGAAGGGATTGTGGCATGGCCATCCCCACTGGGCAGAGAGGGGTGATTTCTCACTTTCTCTCCCTGTCTCTAGTGAGCACATGCGCCCTATAGCAAAAATCTCTCTTAAAACAAAAAACTGGACTTCATTTTGACAATAAGTTTGAGACTAATTAAAACATGATGAAACTTTGTGTTGACAAATATAAAATAATGAAACATAGAATAGTAGAAATTTTGTCCCTAGATTGGTGGAAGTCTTCAATCCCCTAATATGGGTATTCAAAAAGTTAATGGAAAATGCATACTATAAAAACTTTGCATGTATTTCGTGTGCCCAAGATCCGAGAGGAGAATGGAAAAGAAGGGATTGCAGTGTGGCCATCCCCCCTGGGGGGTGATTTCTCGCTTTCTGTCTCTCTGTCTCTGTCTGGCAAGTGCATGCGCCCTATAGCAAAAACCTCTTAAAAAAAAAACTTTGCATGTATTTAAAAATTTTTTTACACCAAAATAAATTTATACTTTAGTTCTATTTTTCTACAACCCTTTTGAAGTCCCCTCATATGATATGTTAATACATGGCATAACCATGCTCTTTAATGATAATCTCTGTCATTCTTTTCTTGATTCAGCAAATTTAAGAAACTCACTATTAAGAATTTTTAAAGCAGATTTAAGATGGTCAGCATATTATAAAGATCACGTGGTATTTCAGGATACATCTTTACCTTTTGAAATGATAAAGAGCTTGTACACTGGAATTAGACTTGGATTCCAATGCCTGACTCTTGTACCACTAGCTATGTGACTGACTTTGGACAAGTTATTTGCTCTGTTTCCTTATCTGTAAAATGGAGATGAGCATTGTACTTATTTTGGGCCAGCTAGCTAGATAGTGTAGTGGTTAATGGCTGAGTCGCATGTGGCAGACTATACCATTTGGGTCCCAGACCTGGTGGCTTGAAAAACATGCCAGGCGTGTGTGTGTACATACCCCAAAATCCTGAGAGTAGAACGGAGAAGAGATGGGATTGCAGCATGGTCATCACCTCCTCCATCCTCCCCCCCAGGGATGCTTTCCCACTTTGTCTCTCTCTGGCAAGTGCATGCACCCTGTAACAAAACTTAAAAAGTAAGTAAATAAATAAACTTTCACCCTTCAGGTATTTGTTTTGAAAAAAAATTATGCTTTTATAGTTACCTTGCAGTAGTGATTAACATAAGGTTAAGTGATGAGTATAAGGTAAATAGCTGCTCAGTATTAAACATTAATGTTAGCTTTGTACAGTGTTTCAGCATTAAGCCAGTAAAGATGTCTTCCTACAAGATGTCTTTTGCTGTGTCTGATGGGTGTTTTATTTGTATTGGATAGTTGGCATGGCACTATGTAACCATGAGGATTTTAAAAAATTGGTATATTGCTGTAAAATTCACTCTAAAAATACACAATGTAATTACTTTTAGTGTATTCACGGAATTGTGCGACCATTGCCACTGTCTAATCCCAAGACATTTCATCATGCTAGAGGGAACCCTCGTTCTCATTAGCTATCATTCCCCATTTCTCCTTTCCTTGAGACCCTCCCAACCACTCTTTTTCCAACTCTCTCTGTGGATTTGCCTGTTCTTGATGTTTCATATAAATGCAGACGTATAATATGTGGCCTTTTATGACTGACTTCTTTCATGTAGCATGATGTTTTTAATATTCATCCATGTTGCAGAACAAGGATTTTATTGTATGTATATAACATCTTTTATCTCTCTATCAGTTGATGAACTTGTTTTGTTTTTGCTTTTTAGCTATTGCAAATAATGGTCCTATGAACATTTATGTGCACTTTTTTGTTGACATATGTTTTCATTTTTCTTTGGTGTATACTTAAATGTGGAATTGATTAGTTGAATGGTAATTCCATGTTTAACCTTTTGAGGAACTGCCAGACTGTTTTCCAAAGTGGTGCACCATTTTATATTCCCACCAGTAGTGTAAGAAAGGTCCAATTTTTCTACATCCTTGTCAACACTTGTGTTTGTCTTTTTTTAAATGATAAAGAACTTTTAACCTCTCACTTTATCCAAATTCATTTTACTTCATAAAATAAGAAAAACATTTTATTTTATCTTTTTACCTTAGAAATATAGTTTATCAAGCCAACTCCATAGCCTAATGATTAAGGTAACTGAATCTCATATGGCTGATTGCAGTTTGAATCCTAGCCCCAGCAGCTTAAAACATGCTGGATTTGTATGCATACAAGGCCCAAATCCTGACAGGATGGACAAGTAGAGTAAAGGGATTAGAGCGTGTCCATGCCCCATTGGGGGATGTTTTCTCCCTCTCTCCTTGTCTCTATATCTGGTGAGCATACATATCCTTTAGCAATAAAGGAAAAAAATGAAGTTTAGTTTATCAAAATTGACCTGATATTTTTCATAAACCTGTTAAATCAAGTTAGTATATAGCTTCCATAAAAGTTCAAAAGAAATGAAACATGATGAAATCATGAATCATTGGATGTAATGATTTCTTTTCTGTGTAGTTTTCCCTCAGAAAGTTATATGTAGGTTGGGCTAGCCAATGGTGTGGTGGTTAAGGTGGGTGTATCCCACATGGCCAAATGTATGGTTTGAGTCCCAGACCCAATGGCTTGGTGAACATGCTGGGCATGTTTGCATGCGTATTCAAAATCCTGAAAGGAAGGAGAAAGGGAGAAGGGATTGTAGCATGGTCATCCCCCTGAGGGGTGCTTTCTCACTTTCCTCTCCCTCTCTGTCTGTCTCTGGCAAGTGCATGTGCCCTATAGCAAGTTAAAAACATGCAAAACAAAAGTTGTGTGGAGACTCTGTCTAGTTTGCTCAGTATTTTATCCCCACTGCCTTGAGCTTAGTTCATATTTGTTAAATGAATGAATTAACACTCTAAAGGAGACCCAAGAGAATATACTTAAATTGTAATTCATTTAGATCTGGATTGCTATTCTGATGCTTTAGGATTTTTCACAAACAAGCGTAACACTTGGGGATTCTGTCTAATCTCCAAGATTCTGCTGTTCTCTTTTTGCTTCTACTTCCAACCAGTCTCTTACCCACGGTAAGAGACCCATGTCTTCTCCTGACATTCTACTTTTCCCTCTTCTAACCAGCATTAATACTTCCTTATAACTTAATTGAGAAGGTGTGTTTTATAGGTATGGAGTATGTGATAAAATAGTTTAAAAGTAGTATCAGTAGACTTTGAGACAACATCAGACTGCCAAGACTTTTAGCTAGGCAGCTTACTGGAAAATATCAATTTTTATTTTTGCTGTTAAAACGATCTATAATATATACTAATCTTCAGTAAACTTTATAAAAGTCTTTTATTCATATTCTCAACAAATTTTATATATTAGTTTTTCTGTTCTTCGTTGCTGTTTGAAGCACTGGGGATTCAGTTAAAAA